GGTACTGGAGTATACAATAACCATGCATAAATCCATAAAGTTAATCTAAAGTGAGACAAGGAATAGTTTCAGCTTTCACTTCTAGAAGACACTGTCATTAGGAACATGATTTTACCTTCACTGCAAGGCCCTATCAGTGATAACACCTGCAGTTTATACAGTAAGTCTGTGTTAAATGAGTGAAGACGTCAGCACATTTGGAGTCATAGCTTTTAGAAGGGAGTTCAGATCATGGCATAGACTGGACTGAAAAAAAAGTATAACTGTAGTGAGCAGGAAAAGTGACTTGTTAACACTATTCATTTCTTCATAATCATTTTTGATAAAATTTAAGCATTTTAACTGAAAAATTCAGGTGATATTCTCAAGTTGTTAAATCAAATGTACTTGGTCTAAGTTACAAGAAAAATCTTTCCTACATTTTTATGTATAGAGGAATATAGTAGTAGTAATGTATTAATTGGTCAGCAAGTAAAACATTATTAAAAATTAATAATAAAGCACATAACTAATAAATATTGAAATTGTTCTCATAAACATAAAAACTAAAGAATAGTAATAAAGATTACTTTTAATGTAGTAAGTTATTAATCCAGCTAATATAAAATTTATTTTTGATATCAAATCACAACACAATTAAGAGTTCTGAAATAAGAAAATTGAGTTGATAAAATAATTTTCTTAAAGACTTGAAAAAGAATCAAGATTTGAATACTTAATATTTTGAAATGAAATAGAACTATCATTCATCAGTGTTTACCCTTGCTATGAAAAAAGCAATTCAAAGTTTCATATTATTTCCTGAATATTATGGTGAAGTATTTGAGAGATGCTTTTCAGCTTTTGTCTCTATTTTCTTAAAATCAATGTCTTGTATTTATTTTGTAAATCTTACCAGCAGGTGTCTGGAAACTTAAATTATTGACCACAAGAGGGAGAACTCTAATTCTCCATTAAGTCAGTTAATGTATTATGTAATAATCAAGAAATATTTTGGTGTCTGAACTGGGCAATAGGCTGCCATATCTTCACTTGTCTGAAAAGATGGAGGTTTGCTTTGGGCTGGGGGTAAGTTTATCTTATTTGAAATGGGTGTATACTGCTAAACTTATTGAAATCTATATGGGACTTGAGAGAACCCCTTTCTCATGTCACTAGGTATACTTGTTCCTTGTATTCTAGAGGCCTGCCTAGCTCCTTAGCATCTTCTATTCCTCTTGCTGTGATTGAAGTTACGTCTTTCTCAATCCATATAACTGCCAAGGTCTCCTAAGATGTCCATATGTCACCGGATCACTATAGTCAACTAGGCTAGGCTCTTTTGGGACTGCCCTGCCTGATCCATCAGCTAGGCTTTGTTCCTTTGTAACATGTAGGTTACATCCCCCACGATCTCCTTTCTCTGAGACACTGGGTAGGCATTTGTTTGCTAAATAATATAAGCTTCCCAGGTCCTGTGGGATCACATTACCAAATGTGGTCATAATGCCTCATTCCAATAGAATATTCCTACTCCAAATGGGTTCACTTCTATCAATTTAATAAGCTTCCTGTTTCCCTAGAATCTCACTTTTTAAGTCTCTCAGGAAGACTCTGACCCTCATAAGTGGATAGGACTTCTAGATACATACAGTTTAACAAGATCTTTCTTCCACTGCTGCTTGACCACGCTTACTTAAAATAAGCGTGAGAACTTTGAGAGCCACACCAGATGACATCAGAGGAGAGGCCTAGCAAGCTGGATGCTGACCTGTAAATAGTGTCTGTTCACCCACACAGTAGATCCTCGAGCTCTGAGTACAAATTCAATGCAAGAAAAATCTCAACCCTATGACAACTTACATCATAATCCCTATAGCAGAAGAAAAGTGGTAGCTTAAGCAAAAATAAGGACATGATTGACAAATGACCTCAAATGGTCAAGCCCCAGCTCAGGAGCAAAGTAACACAAACCGGAATGATATTCCCATAAATAATTTGATAAAATAAAAAACTTTGCATGTTAAAAAAAGTTTAATGAAATTTATAACTACAAAGTCAGTTCTACAGAGGATACCAGAATAAATACTTCAGACCGAAAAGAAATAAAAACACACTCAAGAAGTCACATGGATAAGTAATTTCAGGACAGGTACTCAAAAGAGCTATAGAAACCTAGTGCATTGGATACTACCTGCAGTAAAAATGATCCCAATGAAGTCTCCAAATAATTAGTGAATCAGAGTCCCAGCTGGACATGCCTTGACCAAATGAAATTTTTAGTACTTTAACTGGGTTACATGCCAAATGGGTCCCATGTAATTCCTCAAATAAGACAGGTAGATGCAAATACAATAAGTTTCTGTCTACAAAATGACAACCAAGATTCTATTGCTGAAGAAAACACCCACACAATTCATGAACCTGGGAAGGTCAAGCTGGTTCCTACATAGAACCCTTACATTCTAGTGACTTTGATATGGAAAGGCTTATTCTGCAGGTTAGCAAAACAATCACCAACTCAATCATAAAACTTTGATCTAAAATGCTTAAAAATATGCTAAGGCAATAGAGTAGGCCACCAATGCCTGATTTGACTTAAGGATCACTCCATGAGATGGAACTCATGCCCAACACTGCTTGGGTGAAACAAGAACCAGAGACTAGACAGTCTAGAGACCTATGCAAAAACCAATTACCATTGCTCTTTATAAAGTAGTGATGAAATGATTCTTAATACTATTCTCCTATACTTATAGATCAGTGCCTAATTCAGTCATTATCAGAGAAACTTTCTCCTGCAGCAGCAGACAGGATCACACACGCACACACACACACACACACACACACACACTTACATACATGCAGAAGGAGAAGGAAAGGGGAGAGGAAGAGAGAGAGGAAGAGGGAGAAGGAGGAGAGGGAGAGGGAAAGGCAGACAGAGAGGGAGAGGGAGAGAGAGAGGGAGACAGAGAGGGAGACGGAGAAGGAGAAAGAGAAGGAGAGAAAGAGGGAGGAGAGGAAAAGGGAGGAGGGAGAGGGAAACAGAGAGGGAGGGGGAGGGGAGGGGGAGAGGGAGAGGGGAGAGAGATCTTGGAACACTCAGCTCTGAATGGCATTTCTAGATCAAATCCTCCCCTCAGAGATCAGGGAACCCTGTGGAAAAGGAAATAGAGAGTGTGAAAGCCAGATGGGGTAGAGGACATCAGAAAACAAGGCCCTCTAAATCAACCGAGCAAAGCTCAGATTAACTCAGAGACTGAAGTAGCAGCATGCCCAGTTCCTACAATGGTTCTCATGTAGTTCTCTGTGTATATACTGTAGCTTTCCATTTAGGAAATTTATGGGACTCCTGAGTACGAGAACAAATGGATCTCTGATTCTGTGCCTTCTCTTGAGACTCTTTCCATTATGGTTGGTTTGCCTTGTCAAACTTCAATGTGATGGATTTGATTTATATTATTTGTTGTGTTTTGTTGTTATCCTTTAGAATCTCATTCTTTTTAAATGAGAGACTGAAATGGAGTGGATTGGGCAAGAAAGAAGTACATGGAGGAGAAACTGTAGTCCAAATCCAAATGTATTATATATGAAAAGTTATCTATTTTCAATAAAAGAGAAAAACAGAAATACCATCAACAAACAAACAAAACTGAAAGGCAGACAGACAAACAGAAACAAAGACCTATGTTTATCAGGATTGTCGTTTCGTTTTCTTAAACCATCTGAAAAATTAGCACCTCTTCTCTAGTTCCCTGGCTCCTTTAATTGGAGAACAATATTTAAATAACATGATCTGAATACTAATTGTTATTGAGGTATGCATACAACCATGTATGCATAAATATATAGACCATAGCTATAAATTAATTTCTCTATCCTTCATATAGCTATATAGTGCTCCCGTCCCCTCAGGTTCAAGGGCTCCTTCAAATACAAAATTCTACAGATGAATAGTATTTACATGTGATATATCTATACTCTATCATGCTTTATATTAGCTGTGGTTACTTCTTATAATAAATGCAATGTAAATACTATGTAGAAAGTTGCTCATATTAAGTATAATTTGTATATTTATACTTAATAAATTTTGTTCATGTCAGATGCAAAAATAGAGAAAACTACCACGAAAATATACAAAAATGAGAGAGAATACCACATATTTTAAGATAATAACATTTTAATATTAATGGACTGAATTCCCCAGTAATATACATAGACTAGCAAATGGATTAGTAAACAGGACCCATCCTTTTGTTCCTTCTAAAGAGCACACCACATCATCAGTGATAGAAAACACGTTTAAAATAAGTCGATAAAAAAGAGTATCCCAAGTAAATAGAGTTAAGAAACAAGTAGGAATATTTATTGTTATATCTGACAAAATAGACCTTCAGTCATATCTGGTTAGAACTGGAAAGGATACTCACTTCATTTTCATTAAAGAAATAACCCTCCAAAAGGATACTAAACTTTTACATATTTACTTACCAGCAGGAGTACTTAACTTTATTTTAAAGGCAAAACAAATAAAACAAAGTGCTGGATCTAAAACCACAGATTATCTGGGACACAGTGATTGTGTGTGTCTTTAATACCCTATCTGCACTAGTACACAGGTTATCTGCATGAACTCTAAATATAGAAATATTGTAGGTAAACATCATAATTCAAATGAATCTAACAGACACCTACATCTACACATTATAGATAAGCCCTGAACAATACACAGTTTTCTTAGTTCATGAAAAATTCTCCCAAATCAACCATATATGACACAAAGAAAGTCTCAAAATATATAGAAAATTAAAATAACATCTTGTGTTCTATCAGACTGCCCAGAAAAAAGGCTAGATATCAACCTCAATAGAACTGTAGAAACTAAAAACTCATGAAAGCTAAACATCATATTTCTGAATAATAGTTAGGTCAAGGATGAAATCAAGAAAGATATACAAATTTTCCTGGGATGAATGAAAAAGAAAGCACAACATGATAGAATCTATGTGACACAAAGACAGTCTTAAGTTTATTGTGTTTAGTGCCTAAAACACAAATTCAGGAATTTATGGTCTTGCCCCCTTTCTAGCTCATGTTCTGTGTCATGATTGAACATGTGATCACTCACCCTTCTTCTTTGGGTGCCATCTTCAGCATTGTAGACATCCTCTCTGGAATGGTAAGCTAAATAAATTTTCTTCCATTGGAAATTGTTTTAGAGATATCAAATTAACAAGTTAATCATACACATTAAGTCATTTTAGAAACAAAAGCAACACCCCCAAACAGTAGACAGCAAGAGATAATCAAATTCACGGTTGAAATGATCAAAGCAACAATAAACCATAAAGAACCAGTGAACTCAAGATTTAATTCTTTTAAAAGACTAAGAAGATTACTATTCTTTCAATCAAGCTAACTGGAAAAACGGGGTGTGACAAATCAATAAAATCAAAAGTGAAAGAAAAAACAGTATGTATTGAAGAAATTCAGAGAATAATAAAGTCATATTTTATTTCACATTTATTTCACATTTAAGATTTTAAATTGAAAATCTTAAAATTTACTATAGTTGAATTTCTGGATGCTTATGGCTTATCTAAGCTAAATCAAGACAAAATAAACAATTTAAACTGATGCATGGCATCCAATGGCACTATGTAAACATTTCCTAACTTAAAAACAAAGTGCAAGACCAGATGGATTCAGTACAGAACTGTACCAGTCCTTCAAACCACCAATAATCTTTAAATTACTTCATAACATAGAAAAGAAAACACTTTCATATTCTTTTTACAAAACCTACATTTCCCCCATATCCAAAACAAATAAACACCAAAACAATAAATAGAACGAATTATAAGGCAATTGCTCTGACTTCAATAGATGCGAATCTCTTAAAAAAATGCTTGCAAACTGAATTTTGAAAGCTTTCAAAATGATCACTCACCATGATTAAGTTTGACTGATTCTATAGACTCAAAGATGACTCACTGTATGCAGATCAATTAGTGTAATCACCTTATAATAAACATACTCCAGGATAAAATCCACATGATCATATCCTTATATGGAGAAAAGGACATTGAAAAAAATCAATATCTATCTATGATAAAGTCTTGGCTAACTTAACAAAGGACATATCTCAACACTATAGATGTAATACACAAGACCCCGCAGCCAAGATGACATTAAATGCAGAAAAATCATTTGCACCCAAATCCAGAACAAGATGAAGATATTCACTCTCTCCTCTTCTCTGTAATAAAATCCTTTCAGTGAGTGTATAGAACCAGAGAAAATAAGAGAAGAAAAATAAGAAAAGAATAAATAAAAATGAATAAATTAAAGCTTCCTTGTCTGTAGATGATATGATTCATTTTTTAAATTTCTTTACAATGTGTTTTTATTAAAATAGCTCATTTTACATTTTAAATACAATTTATTGATAAAAAATGAATGAACTATCAACAAGTTAACAAGAATGTATCTCTTGTTTTGTCTTTCCTTTTATTTCACCTTCAAAGTCAATAAAACTGGTTTATTTGATGGTATTTAGTGACTCCTAGGTTTATATTTTGCCTGTCTATATAATATACAATGATCTCCCTGCATTTAGTGATCCATAATCTTAGTCTCTCATGCCAAAACCTTTTTTTTTTATAATTTATTTTTTTCTCAGATTGTAATTCATTGACACAGGAGTTATAAACACAGAAAGGCAGGATGTGGGGAAGGAAATGACACTGGAGTGTGGGTGATCAGGGGGAATACGGATATCATCAGAACCGAATATCGGCTGGGTGAAGGTTCAGGGGACAAGTTACTATGACTCTGCCTATGACTCGCTTGTCCTTATCTAAGTTGGTATTGTCTGCCCAGGCTACCTATTTACAAGGTCTATGACTACTCAGGCTTGTAAATTTCCACAAAAGCAGCCTGTTTACATTAGCTTATAGCCATCTGTTTCATTGTTTTTCCACTGAGACCCAAGACTTGGTGTTGGTATACATGTATGACAGGCCTATTGCTGATTTTAGGCCTATGGTTGATTTTAGGCCTTCAGTGGGTAAGCAGGGCTGCCCCTGACATCTCCTCCCTTCTCTAAGTATAGAAGGGCTTTGGCAATTCTAAACTTGCGAAGGCGGGGATAGAGGCCTGACCTCCAGTATTTGAAGGGGACCTTGTAATGGCTCCAGTCCCCCTGTCGTTGTCCAGTGAGGCATGAGGGCCATACCCGTCCCGATGTCTTTTTCCTAGAGAGGGGATACTTTTGGCAAGATGATATGATTCTATACATAAAAGTCTGTAAAGACTTTACCAGAAGACAGCTAAAGCTGATAAACACATTCATCAAGTATCAAGATATAAAATTAGTACACAAAAATCAGTAGCCTTATGTACCAAAAAGCAAACATTCTGATGAAGAAGTGAGTGAACCAATACCACTCACAAATGCGCCTTAAAAAATTGTAAGTAAAAAACTTGTACAATGACAGTGTTAGAAACTGAGGGTAGGACCAGAAGATGGAAGGACTTCCTACATGGATCGGTTGGAATATTGCTGGGAAATGGCCATTCTACTTAAAGCAGTTAATAGATTCTATGCAGGATGCACTATACTTCCAATGCAATTCAGAGAAATTTCAGAGAAATGAAAAAACATCTCAAATTTAGTATGAAAGCAAAAGAGATCAAGTGAATTTCCAACAAGTAAACATTGCCAGAGGTTCCACCACCTTCAATTTTCAATTATACTATACAGTAACAGAAGTAAACAGAAACATTTAAATGGAATAGAATTCAGAACCCAGATCTCTGTCCATATTTCTATCTGTACCTGATTAGTGACATGCAGTTCTAAAATACACATTAGAGAAACGTCAGAATCGTCAACCAATATTGCTAGTCAAAATGAATAGCCACATATAAAATAATAAAACTGTATGCTTATCTCGCACCTCCTTAAAACTGAACTTTAAATAAATTAAAGATCTATACATAGGGACTGACACCATAAATCTTATATAAAAGATAGTATGAAGTACACTTGAATTTATAGGCAGGAAAAGGCCTTTCTGAATGGAACCAATTGAGTATATAGTCTCCTTGGTGATCAAAACTTAGACATACCTGAAATATTTATATTCACTTTGATTATAAACTTTCTTTATTCATGTAACATAAGTTATTAAATGTTTTAGCAACGACATTGTTGAGATGAGGAAATAAACCTTTCTAAGTAACTACTATAAAAATTGAATTTCACTTGAATAAATTCATTACAGTCTGCTTAGTATAATGAATGCATAATTGAGCTGTGTATTTGTGTTTTTTCTTTGATCAAATATAGATTTTATTTTCATACAAAATATTCTGATTGTATGAATCTTTAAAATTTACAGTGAGCTAAGTAAATGAGCAGTATTATCATTTAGGTATGTCTGTAACTTTCTCTAATAGTTGACTGTGATTGCTAATTATTTTCATTAGCCTACTGGATTAGTTTTCTATCAGTCTTTCTTCTCAGTCTTCTTATCAGGACATGATACAGACTGATAAGTGATGTGAGATAGGCGGTGTGATGGAGACACTTTTTACCACTGTTGGGGTATCATTTTACCGCTGTTGGGGTATCCAGTCAAGTGCAATGATTGCCTGTCTAGTAAGAATTGACTTGGAGACATCTAGTAATACATATAAACAAATGAATATTAACTGATGAAAATTATTTGTATACATACAAGTCATAATTCATAATCATCTCAGGTCTGCTGCAATTTGAGCAGGATTCCCAGGAAGAGTCCATTGCTATTCCATAGATTACCAACAAGTCTTGCTTGTAACCCTGGAGGCAGAGAATCAGAAACCACAGAGTCTTACTCAGCATCTAGCCCTTGATGCTTACTGTCAGCTGGTCCCTTGCAGAGGATGTCATCTGGAAACTAAGTATTCCCAGCATAGTGCCTGGATCCTAAGAGCTCAGGTTCAAATGAACAAAGCAAGGCACTTGGCATTTCGATTTAGCCTTGGAGATGCGCAACCTCATTTCTGTCATCCTCTGTTGGTTAAAGCAGACACAAAAGGCTGTGCAATTTGAAGCACAAAGCCTGCCACATAAAAAGGAATAGAAAGAATCTGAAGGTCACACTATACGAGGAGCATGTTGGATTAGACTCATTAGAGTACGCTTTTAAAAAAATAATATTTAGCATAATTTTAAGTATACATTGATGTTTAATTTTAGCCATAAGCTTCACTTCTGGACATTAACTAACTTTAGAAAATACTTTTTGCAAGTATATTCACCATGCCAATAAGATGCTAACTGACACAACATGCGCACATACACACACACACACACACACACACACACACACACACATTGTTCATTTCTTATAATACTGCTAATGTATAATCACTTAAGAATAAGTTTTTTTTTTAAGTGGGCAGGAACAATGCCTTATGTTAACACTGCACAATTTCTAGGCCTGACAAATATCTGCCATAAAGTAGAGAGCTCGAATACTCACTGTTGCTTGATAATGTTTTCTAGTTGTTTCACAAACCTCTTTTGTTGTTCAGGTTTTTAATAGGTTCAGTATTACTTATTAAATGGGCCAGAATAAGGGTACTTCAGGGCTGTTTTCAGAAGTTAGGTTTCATTTTCTTTGGTGCAGGAATTGCACATTAATAGTTTATTCACTTATGTTCTGGGAGATATACCTCTTCTTACTATATACTATTTACATTGCAACATATCTTGCATATATTATACTATATTACTTTTTCATAGCATGCTTGACTGTAACTTTAGGTTGCAAGTTTCTTAAAGGTGTAACTGTTAGGAATGATCCACCCCCAAACACCTTTCATTTCCATATGACAATGACTGCTTGTTAACTGTTGAGAGAATGCATGGGAACCTAAATGCTTAAATGGTATTAAACTCTCTTTCATCTATGTTTTAAAGTATCCTATGAAAATGATGGAACTTACAAATTTATTAAACCCATTTACTTTAAAAAATGAATTGAGCTTCATAGCATGACAAGCAAATGTATTCTTATGTTTAGCTCTTGTATTAGCATTCTACGTGTGTGCTTATTTTAATGTTCTGTTCTTTTTTTTTTAAGAGTAAGTTTAAGTATTTCCTTTGTTTCTAAAGTAGTACAAAAACTTGATGAGATAGACCCAAATCGTCTCACCCCATCCTAGAAACGGGAAGGAGCCGGCCACACAATATCAGAATCAGAGGTAAAGTGTATGGGTCTGTTATACATGTTTAAGAAAGATGCTGGGTCCATGAATTCTTCAGCTTTGCATAAGTACTTGATAGTTTGTTCTGGGAGAATGAGTTCAGGGGCAAGCTGGTGTAAGTTGTCACCTGGTCCTTTTGCGCCCACTTTCACCGTCTTGTAAAGATGGAGTGCCAGTTTGTGAGTCATGGTGAGGAAATCTGTGGTGACTTCGGCTACAGACTGCGACTGTGTGTCATCATCTAGGTACAAAATGGGGACTTTGATGACAGAGATATGCCACTGCATGAACAGCCTCGTGGGGATGTTATGGGAAGCAACGATGATTTTCACGTTGTGGATCATAAATTCTGTTTCACTCTTTTCGTGGGCAACATAATCTAGAAGAATCCGGAACAGTGTGCCATTGGAACTCTCAAGGATGTGCAGAAAAGTAGTTGGGTATATGAGCAAGAGTCCTGTCACCACTTCACCTAAATGATGTTTCAGAATTGACTGAAACAGTTGCTCGTAATAGTCAGAAATTTCCTTCTTCTCTATGTCGACTTGTAAGTGGCCCACTAGAAACAACCTGTGAAGGAGGAATTTCTTTAGCTGTAGCCTGTGCTTCTCTTCCTGAAGGTGCAAGTAATTGGTACGCGGAACCTTGGGCATAAGAAGTGGATCCACTTGAAATTGCTTTTTGCTGCCCCTCCGATTATGGACCATGAAAGACATGATGAATCTTATTTCTTTTTCTAGATGATTACAAGTCTCACTGGTGATGAACTCTTATTTTTATTTCTTATGACAAAAAACAAAAACAAAAAACAAACAAAAAACCAAGGAGTTAACTGTTTGTCAGATGTTAGTGAATAATAATATCCCCACTCTGCTGTGAAAAATGTCTTAGAAATGGAAGTGGATGTTAAACAAATACACCCATTGCTTCTGAGTTCACAAGGAAATAACTATCATTCTTCAGTAAAAGCCCTCTCTGGGTAGTCGCAATTACAGATTATACTAGAGGCTTTTTAATGTTGTTCTTAGGTTAAGTGGTTTATCCAATACTTAACATAGATTTAACTGGCCTGTAAAGATAAACTAAATCAGGTGTACTAAAGGCTATTATTAGTTTATTTAAGATTTACTCCCAATACTAAAATTTAATGGTCTTCCTTTAATAGTAACAGTACACTTTGGGAGGGTTAATTGATTGGTTTATCTTTTTATCAATACATTTCTTCTTTTTTGCTGTCTTATTAAGGTTTCAGTGAAGCCGACTGCTACTTTGACATAATCTTATGTTCTAGTTCCAGTCCCAGGGCACCTTAACTACCTTCACATGTCAGGTATACTTACTTGTTTTTGAGGTAGGAGGTCCTCTTGGCTTGACTTCTACCATGCTTCCAACTGTCAGTGCCCTGTCCCCTCAACTGTCCTATCCAGGGTTCTATTACCATAGGTCATGAAAGGGGTTAGAATATCCCTGGCATCAAAGAGCCACAGAGGATCTTGTCCTAGGTCTGTTTTCATGAGATTATCTCAACAAAAACCTCGACAGTATTGTGGTTTGTGGGGGAAATGGGGACTTCTTTTTGAGTATGCCTTCTTTTTGAGAATGGTCTTTTGGATTTTGTTTTCCATTTGTTTTGGTCACACACCTTTGTCAGACAAGCAGCAGATCTGGGCACTTTCTTCTACATCTCAGTAAATCAAAGCTATGGTGGTAAATCTTGTTCCTATAGTTCTCTTAAACACTAGTTAAAAACTTTAGACTACCTATCTGAATCTCTGTAATAATGCATCTGTTATAAAAAATGTTTTATGTTACCATTTGGGCTACTTAATGTGAATTTAAGTTAATCTTTAAAATTCAAAATAAAATCACCTTTTAATCCTATATTCACATGAGGTTTAAACAATAATTTGAATGTGACAGAGTTAGAAAAAAAACTATTTAATAAAAAAATGAACCTCAGAGGACATTTGTCTCCTGAGATTTTCATTATTCAAACTAATGATGTGATTTTAATGATTTGCAGTGATAAATTATTCCAGAAAGTGAAGGTTGAGAGGTGATTTAATAAATTTTTAATTGCATGATACATAACAACTGACCATAATTCCTCAGTCACTGTAATTCAACTCCTAGCTCACTGAAGCCCCTCCAAGGTGCTCTCTTGGTCAGTGTCTTGTCTAGGGCTCTCCTTTATACTTTGTGAACTAGAACAACTTTACAGACAGCCTCCTATGTCCCTCTGTCCTCCATGATTTCTTGAATCTGTTTCTCCCTGTTGTTTTCCAAATCTCTATCTGTGACCTAGTGGAATTCTTTTGGCATCCAGCTCTGGAGAGTGCTGAAGCTCTGTTGTCAGAGAGATCTCAGACTCTGCTTCCTCGCGGTTGACTCAGTGGCCTCTAGATTCGCGTTTTTGATCCGTGCAGCATGTAGATCCCTCTGAGCTCATCTATAGACTAGGAATCTTCCTCGAAAGCTTCAAGGTGACACAACTAGTTGACTTGCACTGATAAAGACAAACTGAGTCCATTCAAAGATCTACTTTTGTCAGAATGCTCTTAATTCATTTCCTCATGTCACTTACTTATAACTCTTCTTTCAATAGATAATAAAGCTACACTCTGAAATTTAAACAACATTGTAAAAATTATCTTTATTGAGGTCTTTTCGTTTGCAAAGACTCTCTAGAGCCAAATGGTCAGACCTCTGAAAATATACATAGAACTTAACATTATGCAGACTGAACGGGTTATATTTAAGAGAATATATGTATGTGTATATATATATATATATATATATATATGCATTCAGAAACAATTATCTTTATTGAGGTCTTTTCATTGCAAAGACTCTCTAGAGAGGGGTTATATGGATGAACTCATGGGGAGGAAAGGTAAGGAAGAAATATAATTATATTATTATCTTTAAAAAATTAAAGTAACTTTAAAATGTTAAAAAGTCCCTTAATATCTGCATTAACTTCTTGTCTCTTACTGTCTATATCAAAACCATTTTTCTTGCCTTTTCAAATTTCTTAAACACTAATCTCAAATTATATTTCTTACCTTTAAAAATTCTTATTTAGCAGGGTATGATGGCACACATCTTAATCCCAGTACTTGGGAGGCAGAGGTAGGCAGTTCTCTGAGTTCAAGGGCAGCCTGATCTACAGAGTGAATTTCGGAACAACAAGGGCTGCACAGAGAAATCCTTTCTCAAAGCCAAAGAAACAATTCTGAATTTCAAAATGCATTTAAAATTCTTGATTTTCACCACTTCGTTCATATTCCTCTAGATTTCTCCATCCCAGATATTAATCTCACATTATAAAATGTAAATCTGTAAAGTAATTTATAGGGTTATGTTTATATTTTATAATAGTTTTACAGAGTCCCTGCTGCTATTTGAATACTAGAAGTGGAAGATGTACATTCAATGGCTGAAGAAGTATCTATGGCATTATTACCAGCCTCCAGTTGTGAATGAGACCAGAGGAAACATAGGGACATGTTACAGAATGGTTTGCTATCTAATGTTGGTGCTTATCATCATCATCAGGAACTTTCAGTGCTTTCCATTGTTTCTCCCAAGCTTCCCTTTCTGAATGCACAAATGCAAAAAAGAAAAAAAGAAAAAAGAAACCACAAACAAAAATCCTAAAACAACAACAACAACGACAAAAAAAAAATGGGCAGATGAGCCAAAAAAAATGTCAAATGGACTCATCTACCCATGTTTTGTTTGAAGCATAATTTATTTCCAAAGTTAGCCAAGGACCAGCCTTCAAAGGTTAACCATAGGATTATTTTCTCATTTCACACTGTTTTCATTCATGCATGTTTTCCTGATTACAGTATGTCCCTGAAAGAACAAATGAGAAAGAGTGTAATCTGCTTACAGACTTTGAGTGAGATTCTAACTCCCTTATCTACTGTCACTGTCTTGTTGGACTCTACAGATCTGATGGTAAAATAGGGTGGTTTCTCCTTTCCACCCATGAAGCCTCCATTGCTTTGGCAAATTGCTTTGGTAAGATTTCTGTTTTGAGGCCAGACCAGGCAGTCCTCTGCTATGTATGTGTACAGAGACTCAGACCAGTTCCTGTATGCTGTCTGGCTGGTCGCTCAGTGTCTGAGAGATCTCATGGATCCAGGTTACTTGAGATTGTTCGTCTTCCTATGGGATTGCCCTCCTCCTTAGCTTCTTATAGCCTTTCCCTATTCAACCACAGGTGTCCTTGGCTTCTGTCATTTGTTGGGTGTAAGTATCTACTGCTGTCTCAGTCAGCTGCTTGTTGGCTCTCTTGGAGGGTAGCCATGCTAGGCTTCTGTCTTTAAGCACACATCAATAATAATGCCAGGCCTTAGAGTCTCCCCTTGAGATAGATCCCAACGTGGGCCTGTCACTGGACTGTCTTTCCCTCAGTTTCTTCTCCATTTTTGCCCTTGTAGTTCTTTAGACAGGGACAATTCTGAGTCAGAGGTTTTGACTATGGGATGGCAACCCCATCCCTCTGCTTGGTGCTCTGTTTTTCTACTGGAGGTGGACTTTATAACTTCCCTCTCCCCATTGTTGGGAATTTCATCTTTGAGTCTTGGGATTCTCTCACCTCCCAGGTCTCTAGTACATTCTAAAGGGTCCTTCTACTATCTACCTCCTGAGGTTGTATATTTTTCTTCATTCTTCTGGCCCTCAGTATTCACTCCTGCCAACCATCCCCCACCCCCAATACCTGGTCTGGCCTTAACGAGAGGAAAAGCACCTAACCCTTTAGAGACTTGAGACACCGGTGAGTGGGGAGGTCTGGCAGGGTGTAGGGGTTTGCGGGGGTATTGTGGACATCCTCTTGGAGATGGGAAAGAGGAACAGGATGAGGAAACTGTCAGAGGGCAGAATGGGGGGATGATACTGACTGGATTATAAAAAAGATTAAAAATAATAATAATTTAAGAAAAAAGATTTCTATTTTGATCAGTATTGCAGCCTGGGTGCTCTTGCATCTCTGTCCAGTATGGTTGTATATGCCTTTGTCATTCATGTTCTCATGAAAAGGAGTTCAAAAGTTGCCTTCTTCCTCCCAATAGGTGAAGTTTGTTACCTTTTATTTTCACATATAGTTTTTTTCTAGTATAAAGCTATTAGAAAAACATAGTATTTTATCATTATAAATACATAGATGATATATTATTTCAACCAAAGCAGTCATTTTCCAAAATATACTAATCTCTTAACAAAGCCTAATTGATGTCAGATTTAAAAACATGAATTATCATTCTTTTTATCTTAGAAATTATCTGACTGTGTCAACTTTGTACGGCTCAAAACAATAATTTTACTAACTCAGATATTTTGTTATATGGTTTTATTCTATTTCCCAAATGTTCTTTCATGATTTATTTTACTTTATTTCTCAGATGTTAGTTAAGTTACTCTCCTGAACTTTAGTCTTATTACCACATGATTATCTAGAAACTTCAAGTGGTATCTGTCTTATTTTATTTTTTTCTTTTTTCTTTTGTCAATCACAATGTGATGTTACTAAAGAAAGTGTCAGCATGCCATTTGAACAATTGATGATTAACAGGAACATATTATTACAGTTGCAAGCTTTTGTTTTAGTAGAGACTCATTATCTGATCTCCCAAATGCTACAATCCTTGTGATCCATCTGGTAAGGACCATTTGTCTACCTGTAGATGGTCACTCCAACAGAAATCTTCTCACTATCAACCCAGTTTAAGAGGCATTTACATTATTATTTTTTCAGAGTGATCTAGTTAGAGTGGCTGCCCAAGTTCAAGCTCTAAGCACTTATCAGTAAATAGGAACTTGTGATTTTAATTCTTTTCAATTATCCTACTTACACATTCTATTATTTCATACTAGCTTATTTTCTCATAACATACTCATAACACATGTCAAATGGTACACCTTGTGATTTCTCACAGACTTCCTACTCTTTGTTATCCACGATTAAATGTTCTTTAATAAGCTCACAATGCCCTTGTCTCTATAGGACACACAGACCGTATAGAGAGGATTAAGTGTCATTAACGGACTACAGTAGGTACTTTACATGTCTACCTTAGATACTCCTTCTTTCTCAATTTTTAGAGAAAGATGCTAAATTGGGGATAGTTTAATGACTTACAAGTTATTCAAGTCTACTTTCATCAGCTTCCTTGCCATGCTTGCATTGGAAAAATATTATACTCTCACCCACCCTAGTAATTCTCTTTATAGGGACATGGATCAGTTTCACGCAGAAGCCAGTACATAACATTATAGCAAATTCTCTTGCAGTGGCACGACAGCCTCTGAAATTCTTTACTATTAGGTCTAGTACATCTTTTAATTACCACAACTGAGTC